ACAGTAGCATCAACAAGGAATGATGAATAAAGAATGATATGTGCATTGTTTATCGGTAAACAAAGGGGAAGTCGTATTTTGGGATCCGGGGCTCCGCCCCGGACCCCAAAATACGACTTCCCCTTTGCTTTTTCGGGCCAAAAACGATATCCAGCTTGTGAAAACGCCACCCCCGCCGGGCCCTGGGCATACCTCCTCCAATTCCAATCGCGACGCGATTTCTAATACGGACGTATGTTCCTAGTCCGCCGAGTGAACACGCCCATGTGTAGTCGCGCCGCGTTTGTGCTAAACGTTGCGACAAATCGCGGGCCATTTTTGAACGGTCATACCTTCAGCAGAGATATCATTGCGACATCACTGAAAGTCAGCGATGTCGCTTCTTCTTTGTGAGGAATTTGGTATTTTTCTGCTAATGCTAAGCTCATTTAGAACTAATCCAACTCAGAGAGCGCTTCTTTTTCGCATGAAAGGAATGGCCGTCAAGCATTCCATACAATCAGCCCTTGGAAACTTACGTAACATACGCTAAGTATCATATAGTGCGGGATGGTTCCCGTATGTCACTTTGCCCTTGTGTTAGCCTACATTTGCTGTCCTCGCATTGCAAAAATCTTCTACTGTTCTTGTTTAATGGTCACAAGTAGATGGTGAATTTCGAATGTAAAGAAAAAAAATTTCATGTATGTTTATCTCAGTCTCGTCCGTTTCTTTAAACAAAGTTTTGAGATTTAAACCCTCTCCGGGACTCTTCAGTATGGAGAGAGGGTCTAGTTAAATTTTCAAGAAAATTTCAAAAAAAATTTGAAACTCAACTTCTATACTTCGTCGATTGTCGTCCAATTCTTCTTTTTTTGTCGTATGATTCTGTGTTGCAAAGTAAGAATGGACTTGTCTTGACTTGTTCATTTCTATATGTTATCATTTTTGCTGAATATATCATTTACACTTGGTTTCATAAATGTCGTTTGATCAAAATTTTTATTCATATTTTGTCTAATACTAGCTTGCTTACCCGGCTCTGCTCGGCCCTGTCAAAACACTGTAATAAAGGTTCCATCCCTTTTCTTGCACAGCCTTTCGCTGCCCACTTCTACACCTCATTTCCCGTTCCCTGTGTTGCGAAATCAGCATGCCACCTTACCTCCTGTGCCAACTCTTAGCCCTTTAGCTCAAATTTTGAAAAAAAAATCGATAAAAGTGGGTAACACCAAAAATAATACCATATAATAGGTAATACCAAAAACTTAATTGTATTTGGAATCGCCATGCTCACTAATCCCCTGTGCCAACTCCCAGCCCTGTAAGCTCAAACTTTGCAAAAAATTGATAAAAGCACGGTAATTTTGAAACCTAATATTGTATTCGGAATCGCCATGCCCACTTACCCCTTTGTGCCAACTCCCAGCCAGCAGGTGAACTCTGCAAAAAATCGATAAAAATCGATAAAATGGGTACGATCGATAACGAAAAGTAGCGTATAACACGCTCCCTGCCCCGATGTGTATGTGTGCCAAGCTTGGTCCAAATCGGTTCAGAAATATAAATTTCTCTTCCGCACATACGTACAGATAGACATACAGACAGACATGCAGACACACATTCAGGTTTATACATAGTGGCCCAAAAAATGTTAACACTGTTTGATCGTTAATAACTCCCTTGCTTTCAAGTCTTTCGCCGAGCTTTAGGTAACATTTTGTAGAGCGAGGATAAACTTAGATACACAGTATGGAGCGAATCATCTAACGCTTCTCGTTATTTTAGAATTACGGTAGGAATTTGGCAGGGATTTCAGGCCATTAAAGGCCATTTTCTGCTTCGAAACAGAGCCAAACAAGCCAAAATCTCTTGTGCTATGGTTACGAAATCCGCTAATTTCGGATATGAAATTTCCATTTCATTATGATAATTCTTTTCAAAGTTATCCTAGGTAGAGTGTAATAACTGACTTCCCAGCATGTGTCAAAATGTGATTACACCGTCAAAAAATCTGAAAACTCGTAAAAAGTTGCGTAGTAAAATCAGCGTGCGCGAAAACCCGATTTCTCAGATTTTTTACAAAAAAATTTTGTCAGAGGGCATATTTCACTACGTACTACATGCTGAGATTTCTTACCGTATCCCTACGAAGAGCGAACGGTGATTCGCTCCATACTATAAATTTAAGTTGAACCTCGCTCTACGGAATGGTGCCTCAAGCTCGCCGAAAGACATGAAATTAAGGGAGTTATTAACGATCAAATAGTGTTAACATTTTTTTTTGGAATACCCTGTATAGAAGGATATAAAGCTGAATGTCTGTTTGTATGTCTGTATGTCTTATGTCTGTATGTCTGTATCTCTGTCTGTTTGTCTGTCTGTACGTAAGTTGTGAATAGAAGATTCCATTTCTGAACCGATTCGGACCAAACTTTGCACACATACACTTCGGAGCGAGGCGGGTGTCATAGGTTACTTTTCGTCATCGATCGATAATGATTTTATCGATCTTTATCGATTTTCTGTAAAGTTTGACCTGCGGGGCTGGAAGTTTCCACAGGGGGGGGGGGTAATCGAGCATGTTATTACGAATACAATAGTTTGGCGCTATTCGGCTATCCGAGCCTCAAAATTTTTTTGTCGTAGTGCTTGCTCAAACTTTGTCTATAAGGGGTATCTTACATATTGATTACAGATATCACGCTTTCTCCGCAGAACGTCTCCCCTGTGCTTACGATATGCGTCGGTAGGAAGCCAATCATGAAATTGGCTGGAGTCCGTTTCAGAGGGCTTATTCGAAATGCTGATTACATACCCTATCTGCGTATTGGGACCTTTTCATAGAGTTATGGTTATCTTATATATAAAGCTGAATGTCTGTTTGTATGTCTGTCTGTATGTCTGTCTGTATGTCTGTCTGTGTGTCGTCTGTACGTATGTTCCGAATAGAAAATTCCATTTCTGAATCGATCCGGACCAAACCAAACCAACACATACACTTCTGGCCCCTGCGGGTGTCATAGGCTACTTTTCCTCATCGATCGATACCGATTTTATCGATTTTTTGCAAAATTTGAGCTACGGGGCTGGGAGTTGGCACAAGGAGGTATCGAGCATGCTGATTACGAATATAATATTGACACGGCCGGGCGGAGCCGGATAAGTCAACTAGTACGGTATAAAAATGCCGAAGGAGTATGACATTCGTAATAAGCATATGTCAATTACCCCCCCCCCCCCTCAAGCCAACTTCCTCGAATAACCCCCATATAAGTTTGAGCAAGATCAAAAAAAAAGATGCAAAGACAAGATGCAAAAACATTGTGGAGCCTGAATAGCCAAATACGCCGTCAGTTTTAGAATTTTCCTTACCTTTACCGATTTTATTGATTTTTTCGCAGAGTTTGAGCTACGGGGCTGGGGGTTGGTGAGGAAAGTAGGTGAGCATACTTTACTAACACAGCGGAAATAGGGAACTGCATGTAGAAGTGGGCACAGGGAAAGGTTGTACAGGGATAGGAGTGGAACCTTTATCGTTTTGACAGAGCCGGGCGGAGCCGAGTAAGCCAGCTAGTAATCTTATATTTGAAGCTGAATGTCCGTTTGTATTTATGTCTTTCTGTATGTGTGTACGTATGTTCCGAATAGAAAATTTTATTTCTGAACCGATCCGGACCAAACTTGGCACACTATATTTTGGGGCGGCGCGGATGTCGTAGGCTATTTTTCGTTTTCGATCGATATCGTTTTATCGATTTTTTGCAAAGTATGAACTACGGGATTTCACAAAAATAAAACTAACGCTACTTTTCAAATACTTCTTGTAAGAGTCTCGAAAACTAAACAGACCTTGCGAAAACAAAAACTGTATTCATGTTGGGTTTCCTCTATCCAATTACGTCTGCTTCTTTGAGGGGGGAAGGAGGAGGGGAAGGAAAAATATAACAAATTGAGAAAATAGCGATTTGACTGTGGCGGAGCCCTTGCATCACAGATTTGATGGTTTTCCAAGAGATCGCTTGCATTGTAATGAATGCATGATCTTTCGAAAACGGCCCGGGCGACTCAGATGGTTTTGGGTTCCTGTGCCTTGCGGAAATGATCCCATTGGACACGCCATCGAACAAATATGAGCTCATATCATTTGAGCAGTAGCAAGAACTTTGGTCAAGTTGGGAAACCTGGTGAAAGCCTAATCCATCTAATTTCTTCCTGCTCTGCGGCAGAGTACTGCCTTCTCGCATAAAGTCGTAGGTCCGCAGCACTCTGCGTCTTAGCCCGGAAACTCTTCCATTAACCCAGTTTCAAAATAAGGCTTTGGAAAACGCCTATTCTAGCCGATTAGAAGTTTTCTAACGTGACCTTTGGATTGAATTTGTGGATAGCTCTGGGTAGACGATAAAAATTGAATATTTGCTAGACGTTGCTTTTGAGGGAGATAAAAAGTTATAAAAGGTGGAGTGCTCGTTTATAGGCACCGTCAACCCAAAGTGGAGGTTGGCGAGATTATGATGGCATATTAGTGTGGGCCCCCACACTAGGCAAACCCCCAAGCTTCGCCGCAAAAGACTGCTTCTGGAGCGTGAAATCCGCTCCAATCAGCAAAGTAGGCGGGCGACCATCTTGCATGCTTTATCTCGCCTGCGCCTTTTGCAGAGAGTTCTCAAAAACAGGGATTTTTGAGTGCTTCGCGGATTTTTGACTCCATATTCGGAATCAGGGTTCTCAGAAGGCATGAAGGCGACAAAAACATTGAATTCGAGATTTTGGGTGGACGGTGCCTTTATGGGTTGGGCCAGACTGCGGCGTACGCTGTGAACACCTCATATCTTTATGCACGCGTATGCGTTGGCTGCGCACGTACGGAGCGCAGTCTTGCCTAACCTATGGCGTCCAGTCAAGAATACGAAAATCCTTTTGTGATGGACTAATGTTAATGAGCCTTTTACGAAGTTACCGTGTTGAAAATCGCTGAAATAAGAATGACTTATGTTTACATATCGCTTTGTGGTGAAAACTCATAGCATCGTATTGCCTCCGGTGACATCCACCTCAGCGGTAAACGGCAACTATAGATACATCATGTAATCTTGGCATTTTTAGAATTACCACTTGACAAACCTTGTTTTCGTTCAGCAAAGTATTTGAATACAAATTCCGACAAAGTCCAAAGCCTCCAATTTTGCAGGAGGCTTTCGCATTCACAAATATATTCCTAGCTGCAATGTCGCGATGAACGAATCCCTTGCTAAACAGGTACTCCTGAAGAAGAATATGAAGCAAGCAAAAAATGTTTTTGGTAAACTTACAAGACCATAAGAAATTTGCAGCGGAAACATCAGCAATTGCTTCAAGGTTACCACCATTTCTATGTTGTAGTTACCATCCACAGGTAGATCGCTGTAGTCTATTCCTTCTGCGTTGAGCTGTAGCCTTATTATGAAAAAAGTCACAGCAAGTTAATAATGAGAACATACTTTAATCATGTACTTGCAACGTATTCGAAGAAAATTTAGTAAATCACCGTAGTTACAAAGCTCGGCGACAAGGCAAAGCGGAGCAGATTCTGTGATACATGCCAGCATGTTGACTAGCCTGAAAATTAGAAAATGACGAAGTATGTTCAACATTGGTTTCCGCTGTTTAAGAAAATCATTGGCTTTCGTATTCATGCTCCTCCAGTCTCACTCATTTTGCACACTTGTAGCAAAGAGTGACGGAATGAGAGAGAACTGCAAAATTTTTGGAAGCATTCGGTTGTAAAGAATGTTTGCGGGCAATATAATGGTATTATTACCATTATTAGGTTGAACCGAAAGTTCTGTCGCACCATTTTCAGAAAATCGTAACTTCTTCCTATTGCAATGATTTTGCGGCTAAAATTTTATTGGAAAGAGCAATCCATGCGCTTTTTAATAGCACCTTGGTTGCTATCTACTCCTCTGAATGCAGAGATGAAATTGGAAAAAGAAAATCATTCCAAGTCCGAAATTTTGAGGCAAGCTCGTTAAAAAATCGAAAACTATTCCGTAAAATCCAAAACAGCAAGTATCCTAGACAATTCAACCCCGTCTTTCTGGCCGAGCAAAATTCGCACCGATCGAGCTCTTTGAAGAAAGTTATGATTTTCGAGAAAAACGTCAAAAAATCAATTTTCTTGAGAAAATGGTTTTTTGGCATTTTTATCAAAATCAAAACTTTCGAAAGCACGACTAGAAAGAGGGGTTCAAACAATCTAGGACACTGGCTGTTTTGGATTTTATGGCACAGTTTTTTTCAACGGGCTTTCCTCAAAATTCCGAACTTGAAGTGATTTCCTTTCTATAATTTTATCTCTTATTCGGAGTGAAGTAGGTAGCAACCAAGATTCCTATAGAAAGTGCTGGATTGCTCCTTCCAATAAAATTTCAGCCACGCAAAATCATTGCAATAGGAAGAAGTTACGATTTTTTGAGAATGGTGTGACAAAACTTTTGGTTTAATCTAATAATCTTATATATAAAGCTGAATGTCTGTTTGTCTGTATGTCTGTCTTTCTGTTTGTCTGTCTGTATGTATGTATGTATGTATGTATGTATGTATGTATGCACGTATGTTTCGAATAGAAAATTCCATTTGAACCTATTCGGACCAAACTTGGCACACATACACCTCGAGGTCGGGCGGGTGTCATAGGCTAGGATTTGGCACGGGGGAAAGGGGGAGGGAGGGGGGGAGGGGGGTAATCGAGCATGCTGATTACGAATACAATATTAGTTTTTGGGATTATCCGCTACTTTTATCGATTTTACCAATTTTTTGTAAATTTGAGCTGCGGGGCTGGAAATTCGCATAGGGATAAGTGAGCATGCTGATAACTAATACAGCGGGAATAGGAATTTGGTATGTAGAAGTGGGCACAGGGAAAGACTGTGAGGGATAGGGATGGGAGTTTTATCATAGTGTTTGGACAGGGCCAGGCGGAGCCGGGTAAGCCAGCTAGTAATGGTATAATTTTAAGTTTTCCTTGAATTCTTTGAACAGTTTCTTGAATTTTCATGCTTCATTTTTACGTCGTGAAGGATGTAGAGATGAGCTACTTGATTTCGGATACACACAAGTTTTCTCTTTCTAGCAAAATAATGGAAATCTTGATTTGCCATTTCAAAGTCTTTGATACAAGAAATGAAATTTTCTCACGTTTGCTCACAATAAGAAAATGTATCACTTTTTTTCTTCTTTCCTTTCTAAGCAAAGAAGCTATAATCAAGCAGTCATCTTATTTCATTCTTACAGGGAAGTTCACTTCGTCGAAATGAACGAAAGATGATGTATTCCAGCAAATTAGGCTTAGCACTGATCTCAGACGTACCTTTTGTACCTGTGAAGCGTTCTACTGAAAAGGATACGAGCTTTAAATTTCAAAATCACATTAATTTTCACACAAAAGGTATGCCGATTTGAGCAAACCACCTGATAAACGTTGTAAGATAAGACTGATCTATTATAATCCGAACATTTTCGAGTGTTGTTCAACCGTGTTGGTATCTACAGTTCGTCATTTGCTATTCAGCCTACACTCCTATTACAGGTACGAAAAAAAGCCCATAACTTCCTACAGGAGGTATGATTGAAATCAGCGTTTTGAGCTTTCCGCTGATACACATCCCCCTTCTCGATTATGCGAACTTTTCTTGTTAGTGAGATGCTTTTTCGAAGTTACCAAACACTGGGCAAAAGTTTCTTTGCAGGATTTTGGAGAGATGCAAAAGCGACCAAAATTACTTATTAGTCAACTTAATAATTTGAAGTATGGCCTGATGCACCTCATTCTTTATTAACTTTAGAACATGAAAAAACGTAGGAAGGAAACGTAGACGAAAAACCTATGCAATAAAGTCAGAAAGAATCACACAGCTCATCTTGATACATCAAAGTGCAAGTGATTACGTTCATTTCTATTCTAAGCCGTCACCAAGGCAAACAAAAAGCAAGCTAAATGGAACTCGATGATGGGATTGACTAGCAACCTAAAGGAGAAGATTGGAGCTTTACAAATACCTTTCATGATATCCGAGGATTTTCATCAACCCAATTTCCCTCAAAAATTCGCTCCTTGACGCATCATCAGCAGGCTCCGGTAACATTTTGACTGCCACCTGTTACAATCATTAGCGAAAGCATAAGAAAAAGAGCAATGAATAGGTAGTTCTGAAAAAAAGTGTAAATACTATTAGGTTGAAAGATAGTCCCCGGCACTGTTGAAAACTTTATTTTCAAACGCATTTTTCCGGCTCTCGGTCCGTGACACCAAGTTTTCTATAATGTTCAGTAGAGGGAGGCCTAAAATTTTCAATAAGGCTTCTGATTTTTATCGATGCCAAGATGTGTTTGATCTGCACATCAAGAAGGAAAAACTTTCCAACCATGGAAATTTCATAATTTTCTTCCTACGACCATTTTTTTATGCATTCCAAAGAATTTTGTCCAAAGTATGATCTGATTGAAGACCTGTTAACCTCTAATCCACAGCTGCACTCGAGTTTTGCGATTTGCGCTCAAAAATTACAAGCTGTCGAACTTACTTCTGACTGCAACTTTTTCGCAGCTGGCGTCGCTTCTGAGATCGCCAAGCCTCAATGAGGGTCCAAAAGATGTGTATGGCATTACCCCAAGATGTTCGCAGAACTCAAAGATTTGGTCCACCCTATGCAGAACGACGAGACTTCAAAATCACTCAAAAAATGGTGCAGTTTTAGGGTAAAAAATGATCGATTTTTCAAACTTTCTGGAAAAACTTTTTTGCATGTGGTCGCTCAGAGGTCTAAATAGTCTCCATAACAGCCCCTGCAGACTTCTATATAACTACAGCATTTGAGCTCTCCAGCTTTCATCGTGCCTGAGATAATTCTGCACAAATAGGGCACTTCTGTGGACCTTTTTCCCTTCTACGCATGTGGATCGCAGTGAGGTGCTGAAAAGCCAGCAAGATGTTGCGGACAAAATTGTCTTTGCAATGAAGTTTGCAGCTTCAAAAAAGAATTAATCTGCTTGAAGACACAGCTATTTGGAAATAATTTTCACAAGTGCACGGGAACTTTACGACCCGATAGATTAAAAAAAACAAACCTGACAATTCTCCGCTCTCATCAGATTTGCCGAAAGCAACTTAAAATTGTGGTTTGGCGGGGATTTGCGAATGAGTCTACCTGAAGGATAGTGATAAACAGACTATGACGTATAGGAAAAACATGTTATATTTTTGCCATACTTTACAATTTGGTAATTCCTGACAGTTTCTCAAAAGCTGCGTACTCTTTAAATCTCTAATCGCCATTTAATCCTCAATTATTTCATCTATGCAAATTTTAAAAAGTAACAATCAAAAAGGCTCTTACACAAATCAATGATTAGCGTATGTTACGAAGCAAGTTCTTAAATACTATCATTCAAGAGACAGAAAGCGGTATGCGCAGAAACACGCTTTGATTCTGCCTCTCACTTCGCACAAGTGAATATATCAATAGTTTTGAGTTCTCTTTTTAATAATTGTGTTTTTTGAGTACTAGATTGTCCGGAAATTAATGCCCGTTTTTGAATTTCAACCGCAATACACTCCTCGCTCTTAAGTAGGTTGCAAAGTACCATTAGATAAAGTAAAGCATTCTCTACAAGATGGCAATCCTAATTTAGCGACAGCTCTGATCCATCTCGAGTTTCAAGCCAAAAATCGAGAAAAATCGTAACTCTTTCATGAAAATCCTACAAAAAATTCTAACTTGCTCACGTAAGCACAAGCAGCACAAGCAACTTGCAAGCGTAAGCACTGTCTACACAAAACATCTATACGCGCCGTTGCCGTATTTTTTCCTCTGTTAGAAATCAAGAAAACGGAAATTCTCATGCATTTGCCAAAGTGATGTTGTGCTGTCCCCACATAGGTAGTTGTATAGTACAAAGTTGTAGAAATACAAACTTAAATTTTCAGCTCTGTGCAAGCTTTACTTCTCGAGAAATATCGAATATAGCTTTCTCAAGTCAGGGGGTCCAAACCGAATTTCAGATTTCTCGCGAACTATAGCTTATAGAGAGCTGAAGATTTATATCTGTGCTCCTACAGGTTTGTAGTATACAATTGCCTATGTGGGGATGGCACAGCATCACTTAAATGCGCGAAAATTTCCGTTTCCTTGATATCTAACAGAGAAAAAATACGGCAAAGGCCTATATGGATGTTTTATGTGGATAGTGTTTACGTAAGCAAGTAAGAATTTTTGTAGGATTTTTATGAACAACTAAGTTACGATTTTTTTCGATTTTTCGGGCAGCTGAGTCTTTTTAGTTTCTGGCTCGAAGAAACTCGAGGTGGATGAGAGCTGTTGCAAAAGCAAAATGGTCATCTTGTAGAGCTTGCTTTGCTTTATCGAATGGTACTTTGCAACCTATTTAGAAATGAGAAATGTATGATAATGGCGGTTGAAATTCAAAACGGGCATTAATTTTCGGACAACCTAATACTTTCAACTCCTTTTGCAGCTATCATTTTCATGATACTCAAGAAATGGCTGGCTTGGTTTTTCTTGTGTTTTCATCACAAACATGTTATGTATTCTTTTTTGTTAAACGTTAGCTTACAGTTGCAATTAGACTGAACTACGGAAATGCTAGGAGCGCAGCGCATGACTAACTGACAAACTCATTTAGTCAATACTTTATAGGAGGTGATACTACGTATCGAAAAAAAAAACAATTTATACGTCATACGAGCTTAAGTTAAGTTCGAAGTTGAATAAGAGCTAAATCTTGCCTAGATAGACCGCTCCAAAAGCGCCAGATCCAAGCTTTACTTCGTCGTAAACTATCAGATTACTGCGCTCGATTTCCCAATTGTCAAATCTAAAGTAACCTTGCTCATTAATAAAAAATTTCAAACACTTGCAGCAACGTACGTTTTAGAAAGATCATATGGGCTACTCCTTTTTTCCTGCTTTTGCATTAACTTGAGCTGATATAATTTGTTGTTTCGTTTCTGCTTGTTGACGTAGCTACACACGGCGAGGATACCCATCACCAGAAGGAAAGCTGCGCCAGTTGTGAAGATTATCGTCTCATTAAAATTCGCTGGGAAACCTCTACTGATAACGTTTCCTTATGACTTCAAAAATTGTGCTTGCATACCTGTGGAACTAACGTAAACCTTGTTTGCTCTTTTTTTCGTGGCACTGTTTCCATAAATATCAGTCAGTGCAATTGTATTTCTGATATCCTTGATGGCACAAAAAATGATGCCATATGTTTTATCATACCGAATGCCAGATATCGAAACGCTGTTCTTGATTTCCTAAACGTGAATGTTGTAAAAAGGCTCTGCATATATTACAACAACAGACAAAAAAGGCAAAGTTATTTTTGTGTATTTACCAAACAGTGTCCAATCTTGTCAAATTTCAAACAGTTCGTAGTAGTCCTAATGTTGCGGGTGATCTTGACGCCATCGAACACATTCTGCAGCTGAAACACTTTAACTATGTATACAAGGAAAACGGGCGAGGAGAAAGGCGAACATTTTTGGTTTTTTGGATTGGTTCCGCTTCTCCATAGTAGGCTTTGTAATAAAGTGTTGACAGCTCTCTCTCTTTCATGACCGGATCGAATGTAACTTTTAGCGAAAGAAGTTCCTTATTAGGCCCATCTGTCAATGGCATTTTGTCTGTTACCTTATTGAAATTAGCGGACTATAGTAAACGCTACACACAGTGCTGTAACGCTACACCTCATAATGGATTTTGTTAATCTGCCCACAGATCGGAGATGTGGATATTTCTTCTGTGCAGGAACTATTCTTCACGGTATCACAACCTATTGAAAAGAAATGAATTAATTCGAGAACGAAAAGCGTGATGGCACTTAGTTAAACTGCAAGCTTTACATATGTACAAGTAGATGAAATGCTCGAATCTTTGTCATTTAAACTCTCTCTTCAAAATTCTATGATGGCTAATCCGGTTGTGTCTCAATCAAAAAACACTGTTTGCTCTAGCCAAATCAAGATGGTCGCCACTTTTTGTAAATCCAGTTTCTAAACCAGTCGCTCGCACATTTTTATGACTCATGTAAGTGACTTCACATTGCACTTCAAGGCCAACCTGGGACACCAATTCACATATACACTTTGAGTCGGGGCGGGTGTAATAGGCTACTCTTTTTGATATTTTTCCTCTATGTGGACCCATTTTCCTCAAAGGCCTTCAAGAAATACGCGCTTAAGTTAAAGAAATCTATAGATCCTATAAAGACTGTTTTCCTGCCATGTGTCAGGAAAAAAGTTAACGAGTCTTTCATGTTTTCCAAAATCATTTCTGGTGAACCACAACAGCATTTGAGACGACTGCGAAGCTCTTTGAATGTTTTTCATAAGAAGTAAAACAACCAAAACGCTTTAGCGATAATTTAGATGTATCTTCTTCTTCATGTTTCCGTTATGGGACCCAGGAGATAAAGATGGCTCACTGTTGAAGTACCTTGCAGCCGCTTGTTTTGCCACTAAAACAATGGGATTACAGCGCACTTCTTTTTTTCTGTACAGAAACATGTTTTTTGAAAAATGGATGATTCTTTTATGATAAGAATGATTTTTGAAATTCTTGAATCAGAAGTAGGATAGTTATTTAGAAAGAGATTAGACTTACTTCGCTAGATGGGCTGCATGCTTGGTAAGAGCTGTTAAACATGTAGATGGCTGCCAATATTTTCTGTACAAGTGAAAAGAGGTTGATGATCCTTCCTGTGAAATTAGGGCCACATATGGTACAAAAAAAGCATATTTTCTGTTATATTATGCCAGGACCAGGTTTTTATGGTGATAATGTTTATTGACCTGACGCGTTTCAACTAAGTCGTCGTCTTCGGAGGTCTGAAAACAAATTGCAGTCTTCTTTCATCTACGGAGCGAAAACGTCAACGTCATCACCAGGCATTGCTTTGTCCAGACGTTGTCTCATGCACAACGTACTGAGAAACGTATAGATGAAGAACGAACTTTGGATCCACGGTGACGTTAGTGAAAGTTAGTGATAGCCGCACGAAAGTAGTGGGCGACACTGAGTATTATTCAGTATGCGATGTTCGCATATCGACAAGAAAGGCA